TACATTTTTCACATTTTCGTTGACTTCTTGAAAAGTACCTCAGGTGGACCTTTCTCAGATTTCTTTATTTGGTGATGATATCTTTAATTTCGGTAAAAAGCACTATTTTCCTTGAATTGTTTGCCCAATTACTATTAAATATCTAATACTAGGCACCTTGGATGGGCCGCCGCCAAATTTTTTGATGGTACTTACCACACATAGGTGCCATACATGCTTCCTTTTCTACACAAATAGTCAGAGGGCATGGTTGATATGATCTAGTTCTATAAACACCACTACCACATGTTGCTGAACAACCAGACCATGGTTGATATACACTATTAATGTTCCCTGAATGAATTACAAAAAAAAGAAATAACATCACAGATTTGTTGTACATTGCATATTATTAGTCCCCTTCAGGCTTAGGGGTCAGCCATTTGAAATCAATGGGTGGTCGCATGACTGGAAGATTTGTTAAAAAAATAATGGCAAGCTAAACACTGAGAAATTTATTGCATAGAAGTTGTTATAGGAACGAAGTGATGGCACATTCAATAAAAATTAAAATGCACTGCTGACACTTTCATTCCCCCCCCCCCAATGATTTCAAATGTTCGACCCCTTATAGTTGCAACTCCCATCATCCACACATGTATATTAGACATGTCTGGGCTGATTACATTCAGGGTTACCAGGGTTGCTTCTCTGCTATGCCTTGCCCGATCACATTAGACAAAAATAAACACAAAAACAGATGCAAATAAACTGGGTCCAAGTTTGTATTATGTCTATCGTTTGAGTGTCGGTTATAATAGATGATAAAGACATGAATGTCTTATATCTGCTCACATATGTGACCAGCAAAATGTGTAAGACCACTCTATAAATGCAATCTACTATCGTACTAAACCATGAAATCTTCAATTGACAGATTTCAATCTTTATAAACGCTTGACTTCCCCAGAGGAAGAGAAATTAGAAGGAACAGAACATTGAAAGAAATTACTAAACAGAAACAAAACTGTAAAAAATACAAGAGGATTTGCTGTCTTGTTTCCCATCTACTACATATAAAAAAAGATTTAGAAAAGATACGAGAATTTACATATACGGTATATTTTGAACGTCCTTAGATATTCTAAACCACATTATGTTTCATTTTTATCCAACCTGTACAATGTGTAAATAAATTTCTCTTACAGTCTAATCTAGTATCTTGTTTGATTTGTATTGCCTCATAATGTCATCGATTGGGTGAAGTCGGTTCGAATGATGCAGTGGAACCTATAACCAAGGTAAATAACAACGTTTCGACAGTTGACATGTAAAAATACGTTACCTGCAATGTGATGCGCCAACGATGCTATCAGCAGCACGGTTATGCTATGTTTTGAAAATCCTGAAATTATTGACAGGCTGAAATGTGGCATATCTGGTTGATTTATATCAAATCACCCACGGCGAGTACTGAAAGTTCTCAACGGCGTTCGCTTGAGTGCACGTGCTAATGTTTGCGGAAGTAACTAAATTCATTTTCTGCGCATCGTGATTGCGCAGCAGACGCCAACTTACAGCTTGTGGTCAGGGAAATTCGTGCGTTTGTGTAGAGTTTTGTGCAACATGGAATATAAAGTTGGTGAAATAATGCCACAAAATTCAAGATTATAGTGTCGCGTTGCATTTTGCACGAATGTCAGGTTAGGTCAACACATTAATTGTGGGGATTTTTAAGGCAGTGCAGCAGACGACAATTTGTCGAGTTTGCATAAACTGCGGGCCGGGAAACCACTGTCAGGGAAACCCACAGTCGCAATTAATCGAGAAATGGAACATATGCCGAAAATGTATATATGTCACCCCAAGGTTAGGATTGTGGGGAAACCACAAGGGTTTGTAGCGTCCACAGAACAACGGTTAACATTTTTATTTTTAGGTAATAGATGGGCTAAATATGTAGTCAGTGTGTGCAACTTGCTATGGAATATATCAAGGACTGCCATAGCAAGTTAAAAATATCATCATATACATGATTTACTATCAGGTAGGGGTAAATAAAACGTGGTAATTCCATGATTTGTTTTTTATATAATTCGTTTTTATTTCCTGGTGTCATGTGCCATTTTATATTAATGTAATGTAAACATGACATTACATTTACAAAATACAGAGCAAGACAAACCAAGTGGTAACTTCTCTGAAAGAAAACAACGTTTATTGGAGAAGGCAATACCAAGAATTAGCAATGCTATTAGTGTAATGCTAAGCCACAGTACACACAACGAATTCCGAAAGGAATGCTTCGAAAAGATGAAGGTTTGTTGATAATAGTTTTCTCTTTCCAACTTTCCAACTCCAGTGGAGTCTTGGTGGTTAAACTGTCTGTGTATATGTCTGTTTCACCATTATCTTAAAAAACTAATAACATTTCAAACTTGGTACATAGATGCTCTGGGACAACTTAATCCATGCATAATTACCTAATTTGCACATTTCCACTGATATCTCAAGAACCAATCATTGCATTTCAATGAAACTTACTACATAGGTGCCCAGGAACAACGCACAGACCTTATTAGTTTAAGATCAAAATCCATGCACAATAATATTAACCAATTTTCAGCTTTTCCATTGATATCTCGAGAACAAACTACTAGTACAAAATATATTTTATTACAATAAAACTTGAAACATAAGTGCTTTTGGATATTGCACAAGCCAGTTCAGTTTACATTGTGCCTTTCAAAAAACAAACTTGTATAGTTGCCTGATCTTAAATTAAAAATTAATTTTAAATATTCTTAGTTTTTACTTCATAAGCATCTAATGCTCATTGCACATGGGAGGTCTTTCTATGCTATCTTTGATTTCAACATTATCAAACTCAGAAGAGGGATTTAAAATTTAATATATTAGACCTATCTAAATTTAACATTTATTTTGAGATTTTTTCTTATGCAGGAAAAAAACATAATTGAATATTGTTGAAATCTGAAGATTCAAAATGACGAATATTTTGTATTTACCAGTAACAAGTTTTAATCCCACCCAATTTTCACTGTTTTTTCTTTCAAATGATATTATCAGCATGCAATTATTGTTATACATTATATCTTTCAAATGATATTATCAGCATGCAATTATTGTTAGACATTATATTTTTCAAGAACAAATAAAATGTTTGCTATCTCTCTGGTACATTGAAAACAATTATTTTATGTTGATATTTTTCAGGTTAGTGGGGTTCCTGATTTATCAGATACAGTAACCTCCAAATTATGGCGAATAGCTAGCAAGAAAATGAATGTATTAATGCCAGAATTGCACTCAATGGTATGTTGTTCATTCACAGTTTCAACTACTTACTTATATTTTCTTTTCAAATGAAAAATGTTTAGAGAGATGTTTTGTCTATTGTTCTTTCCTGCAGGTCGTGAACAGTAATAGTACAGTTGATTCTCAGTCAGAGTCAGAAAATCTTGCAGTAGCTACTGATACAAGCAGTTGTACAGACACTTTGACTCAAATTGGAGAAGAATTCCATTCTGAGGTAAGCAATCTATTTTGGAGAGCCAGACAATGGAATAATTGTGATTTTATGTTTTTAGCTTAATTGCACACTTTTTTAAAAATAGGTTTTCATATATTTGATTTCATATTTGATTTCAGTTGGTTTCATATAATATTAGATAATGAATATTATATTTACCCTCAGTCAGTATGAATTCAAAATAAAACTGCTTAATGATTT